AAACAGGTTTATTAAAAAAAATAGCAGAATAAAAAATGCTTGAATAACAAAAGTTTTAAAACAAAAAAAAATATAAAGATAAAAATACCTAATTATTAATACAGTCAAATGAAATTCTTGGGCTGAACAAATATTTTCTGTTTATGCATAATCCATCATATTAAATATTTGATATACAAAATTCATTATAAATAATATTTTATGTAACAATATATAAAATTATAATAATTTTAAAATATAAAAATTATATTTTTATTATTTTAATAATTTTGCTTCGTTTGGTGTATATAAACTTGCGTTTGTTGATTTAGCATCCGATTCTTATATCATATCGATATTTTGTGAGTCAATTTGAAATTTCATTTGATTGAATATAAAATAAATATGGCATAGTCGGCATAGATATTAATTTTAAAGTTTAGACTGGCATAAATTTATGTTTCTGCTCGTATTTATAGGATAGTTTTTTGCCATTTTAACTTTAGACTTTTTAAGGTACTCTTTAGTATCATCTGTTTCAGGATACTCTAAAGAGCTGTAGTTACAAATCATCCTGTTTCAATTATTATATTTATAGAGTCGATATAAATTCGCGAAGTTCCTCAGCAGTTGGTCTGTTTTCTTTGAATAGGATCACAACATTTTCAATAATAAATTTATACAATCCGGGAACATCATTTGATATCGTAGGTTGTAATCTTTTGCAAAATGTTTAATATGTATGAGATGTAAATTTCTCCAGCTTTAATGTATGGGCTTTTTTCCATTTGAAATTAAACAATAAACATTATTATTTAAAATTATCATTAGAACAATCCGAGCATCACTTATTGAAATCAGCACCATTAATGTAAAATTATTAGCTATCATCTGTAAGATTATTTGATCTATCGTTTTTAAATTATTGCTATCTAACAAAAATGATCATTTTCTTGTGTTAAATATCGGTGAGTTACGATAATTGTATTAAAAATAAAAAATTGATTAGATTATAAAAATTAGTTCTAAATACACTGATTTAAAAATTCTGGTAAAACCATTATTAAATTAATATGTATGTTGTTATTAAGATATAATTAGAATAAGATGATGACTATGCTAGAGTCGCAAATCCAACAGCTTTTTGACTTAAATCGAATGCAGTATAAACATTTTTCAAAAATGTATCTCCTATGACCCAGAGGTCTCCACCATCAAATATTGCAGAAAAACAGAGGCCACTACTTTCATCTTTAAATACTAAATCTTCAGGATTAATATCATACGAGACGCCACCAAAAACAAAAGAGACGACAGATTTTGTATCGCAAGGAATAGTGTAAGCATCATAAGCTGGGTTATAATTTGAACCTGGAATTTTTGTATTAATCGCGGTGAATGCATCTGTCGAAGCAACGACAACAGTAGTGCCTGTATCAATTATGGCAGTATCCGTTCCGATTTTAAGAGATTTTCCACCAAATTTAATATCGTCAAGTTTAATCTGCCAATATGAAGGATCTGCAACCTTGTTGAAATTAAGATCACCCTTAAATTTTGTTTTATCAACACCGCCTATAGACAATTCACTCTTATCGCCTGTCTTATCTTCTTCTCTACCCAAAAAGAAGCCAAACACAGGATCTGAAATAACTTTCTGTGCAAGCAAGTTTTCGAAAGGAGTTTTGGTTTTGATCACTTCTAATGAATCAAATCCCATTCCTATAATCCCATCGAATTCAAAGCCGGCGAAGCCATCAGAAAGTTCTGTTGCCAATCCAAAAATTTGACCTTTTACTTTCGCACCAGCAATAGACAAATCATCGGATCCAGTTGTACCGCTAACTTGGCCACTTCCATATGCAATGAAAAATGGATCACCAATCTTTTTGAACGTTTTACTTTTGGAAGGATCAAATAGATGATCATCTTTGCAAGCTTCACTAGAACAACCTTTCGTTGGAATCCAAAAATCTGAGGAACCTGTATCGAATATTACTGTGAAGTCTTGACCGCCGACTACGATTGGCCCAGAATAACCGATATCATTTTTTATGTCAGTCAATGGTTCAGTTGGGTCACTAGAGCTTTGAGAGAATTTTGAAATTGCCAGTTTTTTTTCAAGAGCAAATTTTTCCTTTAAAGTATATTTATCTGAAAATCCATGCTTTTGCAAAGGAATTTTGTGGACTAAGGATCTTAGTGCAGGTGCAGCATTGATTGTAATAAAAGTTAATGACAATAATAGAGTTGCTAACTTTATGGCTTTCATGATTAAATTTTGTTAAATGGTTTCTTCTATTATAAAATTTTATTTTTCTTCTTTGATTTGAGATATATATATATATCGGCCTAGGCTTAGGCCTAGTGCTATCACTATGTGTAGTCCTATTTTTAGTTTAACCCACATCGAGAATAATGACCCAAGATAGTTTCTTTAAAAAATGTGGAGATGGTTTCATTTAACAACTGTTGATTTTCAGAAAAATAGTTTAGAACATTCATATCGATAAGTTTTTTCTGAGATAGGAATAGAATTTCTGCCGAAATTATAATGAAACGTAAACACTACGCATTTGAAAAAGTGCACCAAAATGTGAAATTCTACCGGAGATAAGGAACCTACTTTGGAAATCATCTGACATTTCGAAATGGTTTTCTTATTTTCGAGACTTTTGGAATAGTGATCGTCCGGAATGAGCCAAACATGTTGTAGTCACGAGATTTTGTGATGATATCTACGCGCGTTATGGCTTAAAAAACCTGGTTCCTATTTTCGGTCATATGCGAACATAAGTTTTCGTTGAACAATTTTTCTTATCAATTAAAATGAAAAGGCGAAAACTTTATCTCCACTAATAACCATTGTATGACAAGCCCGATAAACGAAGTACAAATTATGAAAGTATAGCATTCCAAATACATGAGATGTTAAAATCCAGATATTGTGTGTTCGGGATGTCGTTCATTCGGATTTCGTTTGTCGAGCATATGTAAGTTGGATTGTGTTTGTCTGAATGTTGAACATCACCGAATTTCTTCATTCGTATGAAATTTTATCAAAAATTATAATAAAAATAATTTTAAATATATACTTCTTATTCCTGACTGTAAAATTTTACTGTTTTTATTATTAATTTTTATAAAACTATTACATTTACAATGATTATGCAAATTAAAAATTTTTATTATATAAAAGATTTTTAAATATATCAATTAAATTTGTAAATTATATCCGCACGAAAATTAGTGGCGGAAAAATTTTTATCATATAATTAGCCTCCTTTTAAAAGACTGGTGAAAAAATACATGATATTCTATGAATCTCTATTTCGAAATACATCTCCAGCCATTACAAGCATCAATTTGACTCGTGATTACGCAAAAATTTTATAAGTCAACAAATTTTTGTCAGTTAGGAAAAAAATATTCAGTTTAAAAAATTGTATCAGGGATACTATTTTTAGTTTATAAATTAAAAATTGTGAAAAGAAAATTGAAATTATTTATAATTCTTATGATTTTTGAACATGTCAAATTACATTCAAATCTGACTTGACAAGAAGGAAAAACGTATCATGTGTTGATTTTCAAAGTATGATGCTCTACTTAAAGGACGTTCTAGAGATAAAAATTTTTTGCATAATTAATTGCATCTGAATTTTAAACATACTAACCGCCATTACTTTCCATGCGGACTGGTAATGTGCTTCATAATTTATTAATGGTGTAAAAAATCATTATAATTAGCAAAAATGTTCTTAAGATGTACGATTCTAATAAAATCAAATCATAGTTTGGTACATGTTCTTTACGGATTTTGCTATACATGTAGTATTAGTATCCGTGGATCATTTTACGGTCATATGTCCCGTTTTTAGTGCACTTTTTGAGTCAAAAAGAAATAATTTATGGATTAATTTCCTTTTTTTCGTGTAATGGAGCTCTTTTGACCACTCAATAACATTTTTACTATGCACATGATGTGCACGACATATGTTATACATGCACATTTATTTGCCTTTTTAAGGAAGATAAGACGAAGCTCATTCCACAATTAAAAAATGAGCTAAAGTCGAGTTATTTTATTTCTAATGTAAGAACTTTGTATATCGTAATCAACAAGATATAATTCAGAATAAGAGGACACATTTAAAATCGAGAGATTTATATAATTATTGAAAGTTGGCTTATTTCGCAAATTGTGCTTGTTGTCTTAACACTTAACAGAATAATTCGTTTGCCCTGTAATAACGTCGTCAAAACTTGTTTTCATTAATATTCTTTACTTCGATTTTAACTAATCAACAGATAACAAAGTTGCACGTCCGATAGAAATAGGAAAACGATTCATATCCAGATCAGGCTCATTTTAGTTATTTCTGTTTTCGAAAGTTTGAAAGACAGCGATAAATATGTATTGGTCTGTCAAGACTTTTTCGCTCAACCACCGGATTGAGGATCCACGTGAATAACGAATAGCAGCTTCTTTCGAATTACTACGAAAGCGACTTTCATGTCCCACATACCACCAAGAACTGATCTCTAAGACAAAGATATAATACATTATGAAAATGAGTTGGGTTTAATCCATGTGGTTTTGAGCATTTAAATATGCATTCCGCTATCAGTGGAATACTATGTACACTTCTTGCTGGGGCTATCTGTAAGTAACCTATCTAATTTAAAATATTCACAGAGAGGAAATATTCTATATGGCTAGGAAGACACCATTTTATTTTAGTGTACTGAAAAAATACCCATTGCTTGATATAGTATAAGCTAAGTAAGTATCATTTAAAATATCAGGGCATAATATAAAAATCGCTTGAAAATCGTCTTACATTGGGAGATAAAGCGTAAAATATAGTTTTACGTAAGAGTGATACTATATTTATCTTTTCATGAAATAGTTGATATTCAATAAAGATAATAATAAATCCTAATGCCAGTATACAGAAACAGCAACGGATCGTATTTTGTCCGTTGGCGCGTGAATGAGCTTCTTTTTTGCATACTAAAAAGGATGACAAATGATATATTATTAAATAATGATAATGTTATATGTTTCCTTACATTGGATGTGAAAAGCGAAAACTGTAATATAGCAATATTACATATATCAGACACTACATTATTTCTTGTCAAATTTTGAGCCATACCAACATGAAATTTTTTAATTTAGTTATCCCTGAACCTTCTGTTCTAAAATTCTTTCTGCATTTTGAGTTTTACATGTATAATGTTATCAATAAGAAGTTACGCCAAAATATCATGTCAATTAAAGATTAGAGAAAACTTACTATCGCAACAATTTTAGGTTTTTTTATCATTAATGATTAATGAGATCAAGCTATGAAATTGTCTATTTTGATTTTTTAATAATGACAACAAGTTTTTTTTGCTTTCTAGTTTTCTCTTTCCATGATCGAGAAACAACAAAATCATATTTTAATTCATGAATATTTATTTTTTATAAAATTTTTCAATTTCATGTTTATGTATTTATCAAAATAACTTTTATTTATCGATAAACTGCTTCAAGTTTTTGTTGCAATTCAATCTTAGATAAAAGGTCTTTTTTATTTAAACTTTGTCAGTGTACTTAAAACGACGAATTAGAATCCTGCTCAGATTGATTTAAATCAAATATGGCAGATAGAAAAGGATTGATACACGAACAACTTTTTTGGTGAATCTCTAGAGGAATTTCGGATTTTTTTAATGTTAGTGATTTTTAATTTGTTAAAAAAAGATAAAACCACTAAGAAATCATGATTCATCAAAAGTACTAATTTATCAAGTTTCTTCAACAGTAGTCAGAAGGAAATATCTGGACAAGAGTGCAACCGGAAAAATTGAAGTACACTCATGCATCCAATTTTATTGCACATATACTTTTCTCATTGAGTGCACTTAATTCTCTGGTTTTGGTAAACAAAATTTTTTAGAAAGAATCATTTGACACAAAGATCAAGCTTAAATCATTATATTTTGATAGAGCTGAAACATTAAATGAACATATAAAATATATATATTGATCCACGACTCAATAATCTACTACCATTAAATAGAACAGTCTTTACTAATTCTAATTATATAAATTTTATTTAAAGTAATTATATAAATTCTCTTCAATTAAAGATTGTAATATAAAAGTTATCAATTTCATTCAAATTATAAAATTATAGAAATTTAAGTGAACTAACTTTTATAATATTATATATTCTGAGAGCTTAGAATTTGAAGATTCTAATAAAAAAATGCACCTAATATTTGAATTACTAGCTGTATTATAAATGATTATTTATTTATTATAATTAATTTTAAAATGGCTAATATTCTATAATTTCAAATAATAAAATGAAATTTATAATTTAATAATAAAAAATTTTTGAAAATATAAATATTATATTATGGGTTGGTACAAAAAGATTTATATCTCAATATAAAAATTAATAATTACTTCTAATAAAAATCATTCAAATTTTAACCAATCTGTAATAATTTTGATTGGATTATCTTTCTTAGATCCTTTTTTAGCTTAGATCTTCATTTTACACTATCTGTATAACAGATTAGCTTTGTATTATATTTTTAAAAAGATCATTTTCACTCTGAATACACAGATGATCATTATATATTAAATACATCTAGATTTAGCACATTGTTACTCAGATAATCACCATGTGTATCACAATTACAAATTTAGATTATTAATGTTTTTAATTACTTTATTATTAATATTTCTTTATATT